TCCCATTCCATTTCCTTTTCTCTGGACCCTCCTACCTGCCAACTCTGATTCGTTTTGCTGGCTCACAGTAGCTGCAATCCCAACAATCCAGAGATACTACTGAAAGCTGTAAGCTATCTGTGCTTAGCTTCTCCCAGATGTGGTCCTTCCCATCCTTTTGTTATCATCAGCCATCTTGCCATTCCTTGTCACTGGTATCTTTGCTGAAAAATCATTGTAAGATGTCCATTTAATTTTGGGGCAGGAATCTTTGTGTCTTTAAGCTCTTGCTTGCTTGCCCCACATCTTTCCCTGTTATTTATTTTATTCATAGGTCTTAACTGCACATTCCTGTTTGAATTTGTATCCCTTGCAAGACCTCATTCTGTTCAACTTCTGGCATTTCTCATCTTTGTCTAGAGCCTCTTGACCTCTAAAGTACTGTTCCCTTTGCTGAGCTGTCTTTTTTTCCATTCTTTGCTGGCTCTTGTTTGATTGCTATTATCCTTTGTTGAGGTAGCTTACTCTATTAAATTTAGAGTAATTATTACAGGCTTTGGTTTTCCGCGTTGGGAGTTGTGCTGGAGGTAGTTTCTATGCTTTTGGCTGAAATCTCAGGCTTTTCCCACATTCAAGACTTGCTGTTCTTTAGTCCAGTGGAGTTCACTAATTATTTCCCTTAATTTCTCAAATTTTGCCCATTTGAAATGTAGAACTTTAATTACAGACCTCTTTTTGTTTACTGTTCCATTTAAATTAAACCCAATCAACTTGTGATCGCTCAGTCAAAGGTTATTTTCTTTGATCACTTCTCCTGTAATGTGCTTGCTGTTTACCAAAATGAAACCTTAAATAGCCTTGGTGGTTCAGCACACTCTGGTGGATTAATTTGTTGGCAATTACATCTAAGACTGTCTGGGTCATGCTGCAAATAGTAGCTTCTGTATCTGTGTGAAACTGTATTTATTTATCTCAAATTTAGTTCCTTAATGACGTGGTACATCATCTGTGATGTTGATAAAGAAGCAAATCAGATGTTAAAAAGCCTGGAGAGGAACAGAGAACAAAATATAGAGCGTTTTTTATGTGACTTTGTAACTCTTCAGTGCTATGGGCATTTCTGGTACACCTCATCTCTTAAAAGGCACAGCATAAATGGAAAATGATCAGAGATGGGCAGCAGGAATGGAATGTGGAAGAGCTCTTTTTTGAGGAAAAACCAGTGAGAATAAAAGTTGTCAAGCTAGAGAAGGGATAAATGAAGGTATCTCTACTGGTGAGCAGGATAACATAAAGACAGTAAATAAGGAAGAGCTGTTCACAGGAAGAACAGATGATGATGTCTCCAAAATGCTTCCCACGTCACAGTCAGAGATAACACAGAAAGATTAATGGCAATTTATATTTGGTTTTCCTTTCTTTGAATACTTGTACAGGGCAGGGCAGCATTCAGCTCTGCATGCTACGTACTTGCCATTTTGCTTAATTTCCAGACATCTCTTCAGATGGAAGCTTTTCAGTGCTTTCTCTATGCTCTGGTAAGCAGCAGGTCGTGGTGAAATGCCACGGGAGCATACACCTCTGCCAGTGTTGTCTAAGAAATAAAGGTAGTTAAGGTCAACCAATTAAGGAAGTGTGACTGGCTCATAAATATGTCCGAGGTAATGATCTCGCATATGGTGTAGCTGTGCAACTGTGTTCTTAGGGGGCAGAAATTCTGTGACAAGACCACTGGGCCCTGCTACCAAACTTCATCCAGTTCTGTCTACCTCTCTGTTCACAGAAGATGCTGCCAAAGCTGAGTTCGCAACATGCAAACCTCCAACAGCTGCCTGATGTTCTTCTAATCTTTCACATATGCTGCATCCAGCCTCCTCACGGTTACAAAAAATACACACTACAGTTTTTTTTAAATCCTGAAGCTTCCCACGAGGTCTCTGTTTTGATTTATGTCCCCCCCTCCAAAGCAAAGGTAACAGGCACTTTGCCACTGCCAGATGTGCCAGGTGTGAGTTTGAATGACTGGAGTCTTCTACCCTGCTCTTGGTAGCTAGATGGTAAAAGATACAGATCTGTACTGGTGCATGTGGGGAGAGCACTTCATTTTCTCTGGACTGTTTCATTCCTCAACCTTTTGTCTTTTTTGCTAAGGTTCTGAGTTCCTCAGGCAAACTTTCTCTGCACTGTTTGTTCCGAGCCAACAAGAATGAGATCATAGTTTGGCCCCTAAGCACCACCGTGAGGCTGGGATGAATGATCCTATTTTTAAATGCACAGGTCATGCTGGTGCACTCTCACTTTGACGCTTCCAGACCAGTCATATGCGCATCGTTCTGATGATCGATTTTCTTGTGGTTGATTTGAAAGACATCAGATTACTACAAGTTTAATATAAAGAGGAATATAAAGAAGCAGTGTTCCTATTTTGTCTCTCATGCACTAATCTCCTTTGGAAATTTTTCAAGCTTCCTTCTTCCCTAGGATTTGGTATTGGAGTTTTTGTCCCTAGAAATCTTTGACTGTTGCCCCTACGTTAGTCTGCCTTTAGAGCATCTTCAGTTAAAGCTCATCAAAAGTTAATACTTTTTTTTTTTTTTTTTAAACTCATGGACACATTTACTTTAACAAATACTTTTAAGTTTCTCCCTGTTTCTTCACTACTTAGACTTCATGTTTTTTCATTAATACATTCTAAATTAAATCTTTATAGTCTTCTTCAGCTTCATTCTATGCCAGTCTGTGACTGATTATTTCAAAGCCAGAACTGGAATCCTTCATGTTTTCTCCAGCATTTCAGACTACTTTTCCTGGGCTGCCACCTTTGTTCTGACTGTGTGTCAGAGCTGTTTTGTCCTTTTCTTTGTCCTTGCAATCTCAGGAAATAGTCCCTTGATTTTTCCCCATGAGAGTCACCAGCAGCTTGTTGTCTCCTTGCAGCTTACCAATTCCTGACTCATTTAATGATCCTGAGCCTGGTTAATAGAGTGACTCACCAAAATATTTCACATCTCTTTGTATCGGTTGAAAGCGCCCTTTTGCATCAGCATGCATTTATACATAAATATGTATGTGCCATCCTGCTAACTTAGGGCTCTATTTACCTGCTCATGTGTCTGTCTATCACTGTTCTCAATGGAAATTACATCAATGTCTTTCCTTTACTTTGAAGCGATTTCTAGACAGCTACTTATCAAAGAATATTAACACTGATGGCAGATCTATTTCACCATTCCTGCAATCAGCAATTCTACCCGTTGAAATGGTTTTTATAGACCCATGACTGATGCAACAAAAAGAGAAAACTGTATCCGGGAATGTGGTCGTACTTCATGTAGCATAGGGCAGTAGGACCAAGTACAGGGGACTAAACAGGTGTGGTATTCCACTATGCGTGCAGGGAGAGAAGAATTTAATTCCATCAAATTTAGTTAGCTATTAACTTCAGCAAGGCAAAGAGCCTTGCAGGATTCTCCTGTAAGCAGATATCCTGAGAGCTGATCCTGACAAAAACTGCTGTGTAGGCTGTGGTGGTTTTAAATGCAGAGCATTTTTCCTTCTGTTTCCCCCTTTACTTTGGCATGTCTTTTCTTTATACCTTCTGAAGTTTAGCATCTGTCAGAATTTTTGGACTGGACATTTTTATCGTTGTTGATCAGCAGAATTATTGTGCACTGTAAGTTGCAATTATTTCACAAGTGCTACTTACGCTATCTGGTTTTGGGCATCTAACACAGATGGCTAAAGTGTCTAGGATCCCTGTTCCTTCACAGAGATTAATCTGTCCCGTTCCATGAAAAAGCTCACCCAAATATCATTCTTGGGATGTTGCAGGAAAGCTCTGTGCTGAGCCTCCTGGAAAATGGGATTGAGTTTGCATGGGGGAAATAGTACTGTATTCTTGCCTTCTCTCATGGCTCCTGGAATGGGCAGGCACTAAATCAAGCTGAGCAGCAGAGCTGCTCCGCACACCAGTGCTCAGTGCTGCAGCTGGTATCAGTACAACCGTCACTGTGCTCTCGCTATAGCAGTCCTTTCAAATGATACATGAGATGTTCCTGGCTTGGATTCAAAGGGCAAAGGGGAGAAGGATAACAGTACACACTCTGGCTTTTGAGCATTTTGTTTACTGGAAGATCCTTTTAACCATTCAGCAGTGTGTGCTGCTGGGTTAAGGGAAAGTCATTAGTGTTGTCCTTGGTAAGTGGATCAAGTAATAGTGCCATATGTTCTGATGCAGTGAAATGCAGTCACTGTCTAGAAGCCTTTTCTTACGGAAAATCCCAAACTGGGGTCAAATTTACGTGCTTTGCTTTACCCTAGGGATATGCACCATTTGCCAATATCACTAAAGTACCTGAGTGTTTGCATCTGTACAAATCGGAGACGTAGGAGATCACAGGAAACACTTCCTACTAAAATAAGGATCTTCACTGCCTGAGTTTGTTTTAAAGCAAAGTCTGTACATTCTCTTCCTCGTGGTGTCAGAGCTGTGTGCCACCTCTCCTTGTTCTGGGGATTTCCTTATTGTGACTTCATTTCCACAGCCTCAGATATTCCCCAAAGAGCACCGCTGTGCCCCCGCATCCAGCTGCTGAGGCACAGAGCTCACTGAGAGGTGTGAAGCCCTGCCAGCTCTGTGAAGCCATCATCAAGACAGCAAAAATTACACAAATGGCAAATTAGTAGCATTGGACCCTGGTGTGTTCTTCACAAGAGGCTCAATTCTGTGTTGGCTCACATCTTAATCCACCCCAGCTGACACGCATCAAGCATAAATCAGCAGAGGGCCTGGCCCCTGTACTGTGCAAACATTAACTAATTAATCCGCCTTATAGCCATTGGAAGCTGCAAAGGAGTTATTATTGTACTTCTCTTCACAGACTGTGCAGCTGAAGCAGAGAGGATAAATGATTAAAGGACACAGATATGATTATCTAAACTTGGGTGCAGAAGGACTGCTGGATATTTATAGAGCACACTTAACCTGTATTTTTTCTTTTCTTTTCTTTTTTTTTTAACAGTCTCAACTGAGGAATAAGCAGGAAGAGCTTGGAGACAAGATGACAAGATCCGGGCCTGTCCTCATCTCTGTCACACTTATAAATCTAGAGAAATTCCACTTGTTCCTTGAGGACATGCAAGGATTTTATTATAGCAGTGTTGAAAACTGGAATCCGGCACATCAGATTAACATAAAATGCAAGGGAAAAGTACCCAGCAACAAGCAAAGGGCAATACAGAAAATAGGTTTGTTACAAGCAAATTGGATGTGTTTGTTTTCTTCTTTTTTTTTCCCTCTACATTAATGCCATCCAGGCCTCTCCCGTATATTCTTGAGAAAATGACTTCGTTATATCAGAGAAATATATTGAAAATGAAATCAGTGGAAGCACCAAATGTGCCCAGACATGACAAGACTTTTAAGTAACAACAGCAGAATTCTATCTCCTTTCCTGTTTGTTCCATGTTAACTTATGGAGATTGGTGCTGACTTTCTGGAATGGCTGCAGCAAGCTGTAAATGATGTATGAAAATGAAATGAAAATTCTCTGCCCGAGCCACTGTGCACAGCAATTGCTGCTGAGCCAAATTAATAGCTATTTGCTCCTGTGTGCTCTGACATGGGACGGAGCCAGAGAAGCCAGTAGTAAAGAAACTGGAACAGCTATCCACAGGTATCCTGGACAGGACTCCTGCAGATCCTTTACTCCATCTTCAGTGGTGAAGTCCCTTCAGAGAGGTGAAAAGGAGGAGACTCAAATGTTTTCAGCCCTTCCTGGAAAAGCCCCAGGGGTTGGCTCACAAAATCAGAGAATATCCCAAGTTGGAAGAGACCCGTAAGGATCATCAGTTCCAACTCCTGGCTCCGCACAGGACCACCCAAAAATCAGGCTCTATGTCTGAGAGCTTTGTCCAGATGCTTCTTGAACTTTGGCAAGATTGGTGCCATGACTGCTGCCCTGGGGAGCCTGTTGCAGTGCCTGACCACCTGGAGTAACAAGTTAGGTAGCAGAGACACCTACTCAGGCCCTCCTTTTTCAATCTCTTGTTTCCTGTCTTTGTTTACTTACCTCTTCCCCATTTTTATCCAACTGTATCTCTGTTGCAACATCACCACCCCTGGGGATTAGGGCCGTGCAGGTGGAAGAGGGTAACGAGGGTAATTAAGGGAGCACATGTATGTGGGTACAATTAGCACCTGGTGATTATCTGGGTAAGGTGATGGGCACGGTGACGAAGGACATTTCTGGTGACCTAGTTACTAAACACTCTCTGGTAGTCATGCAACAGTGCAAAACTGCAAACAGTGATTATTAATACCATTATAAATTCATGCAAGCTCAGGTTCTGCAAATGCTTTGCCATGTGAGTGCTCTCTGTGGAGGTAAAGAGGGCACTACAGCAAGCATGGAAAACCAATGTCCAGGTTAACAGTGCACTTGCTGCAAGGTGCCCCTTGGAGTTTTGGGCTTGGCCCACGCCTGTGCTGAATCCAGCAGCATCCCATCAGCATCCCTGGATGTTCACTATGTAGCTGGCCCTCTGATCCTTCCCTTGTTCATTTTTGCATGGGTAACACATGCAAGTGCAAACTAAAACCAACAGAAATTAAAAAATAATACAAATTAAGCGAATGCCCCTTTGTGTGATACTCCTTCACAGCTGAGAAGCAAAGGGAGATGGGATTTAATTTAGGCCAGTCCTCTGCTGCATTTCAGATAAAGCATTTTAATCTAGTTGTAGGTTGATAAAAATACCCCTCTCTGATCCTGCAGGCAACTTTTTCTGCCAATTTTCTTTCCAGGGAGGAAGAGAGGAGGAAATATAATTGAAAGAACACTGCAGCATAGAAAATGACACTGACGGAGTAATGCACTTTGGAACGGTGTGCTCTGCCAGCTCCTTGTTTTCTACTATTTTTTTTCCTCTTTTTACTTCAGAGATTTCAAGCTATTGGTAATCATCAGTATGATTAGCTCCTTTTTTTTCTTTTTTTTTTTTTCTTTCCCCAGAGCTTCAGCCAGGTAGAAGTCTTTTAAATACAGAATGATTTTGGGAGTCTCATTCCAACTTTCACAGTACAGCTTGTTCTCTTTCACCCCAAGCTGAGATTTTTCAGGGTTAATTTATTCATCTAATTGTTGGATGCACGTGTGGTATTGCAGTCCACAGTGATTTTATGGACTTAAGGCTATGGTAATGACTTAATAAACATGCATGTGTACATGATTTGAAGGCAATGTATTCTCTTGAATGTAATATTTCAGAAAAGACAGAATGAAAAATAAAAGGGTGGCCAGAGGCGCATCTCAGTAGAGGCGTGAAATGCTGAGCTTTTAGTATTTTTTCCAAATTAAGGACTCTGTTTAGAAAAGGCATTACCTGTCCAGTTTCCTGACAATCTGTGAACATTTGAATAATCAAATAACAGCAGCAACAAGACTTTTTGGGGTCCGTTTGCCTCCGTGCTCTTCTTTTGAGCCCTTCTCTAGCTTCTTAGTGTTGGCGTGTGCCTATCCACAGGAAAGCATGGCTGAACCGAATGAAGAAAAGGAATGGGATAAGTTTGATGGACAGCGTTCAGAAGATGCATGTTAAAAATCTCTGATGCTGCCTCTGAGAAAGAGAAGGGGGTGGGGTGGAAAGGACAAGTTTCCGGGGCTGGTGAACTAAGCTACACCAGCTGAAACAAAACCCAACACAAAAGCAGCTCTGTTGACATGCACTCATTTAACACTAAGGGGAGGGCAGATTGGACTTTGTACCTGATGGGTAATCTCTTACTCTTGAAAGTTAAAATGATTTTTCCTTGTCCGACAGTTGTTAAGTCTGATGGTCTGGATGCAACTTCTCCTCTGGGAAATGCTCAAATGGCACTGCCCCTATATTTTTGTATTTTTCCTGCAGCTGGATGGGAGGCAAAGTTTTTGAACTTAGAAATTTAGAATTAGATCTTCAGCTCAATTTGGAATAAAACTTGGCTCAGGTTTTAAGCAGGACCTCAGCCTGGATATGGGAGGCTCCGCTGCACACTGAGGGCTCACATGTGCTTTATGTCTCTTCTTCCTTCAGTCTCTTACCTGAAAATGGTACACTGCGTAATCTGACCATCACTGGAGATGTAAAAATTCTCTTTGATCAGCCATGGTTAAGCAAGCTTCTGCCCAGAGGCTGTGTTTGGCCTTTCCTAGACATGTCCCCCAGTGCCTGTGAATCCCTTAACAGGATTTGATGTTTGTTGCTCCTCAGCCTGCTCAGGGACTGGTCTGGGAGATAGGCCAGTGTGGGCTGTGAAGATAGATGTGAGGAAGTCTTGGGATGTTCAGGAAAGCTCATGGTTCATGGGAAGGACCATCCCAGGGTCCTGCTGCCCTTGACTTTGCTATATGCATTTCTCCACACAACTCCACCTTTGAAAGTTCACTATGCTGAAGGAGCAGGTTTTGTCTTTGTTTTTCCTTCTGCACAAACAATGCCATTTTCTCTCCAAAAAGATGATACTTTTTAAAGGAAGGGCTGATGAAAGATGGCTCATGAATTTTTCTCTTATTCTGTCATGACTTTGAAGCACTGATGAGATTTTCCTCACTGCCCCCTTCACTTCCATTTACGGTTAGCAAAATAAGCCAAGTTTAACAAACCTTTCCTTTAAAAGAAGGAAGTGGAATTGAAAGTTCAGACACCAAGTTGTGACCCCTTTGAAATCTGTGTTGGTTATGGCTGTTGGCTGCCTTGGCAAGGGCAGCACCACTCTCCCAGCTGCTTGATCCAGAGGCAATACCGATGTTATCATGGCTTTCAGCTGGTTTTATTTGGTCTGTCAGAAGGTGTGATGTAGTAGTCTCCCACTTTTGCATTTGCTGCCCTGCATATTTAATGAGCAGGAGCAGTGTCTGTGCTGTCCCTGCCATAAGTCTTGTTTAACAGCTGTTCAGCAGCACTGGCAGCTTAAGGGTAATATCCGACAGGCATTGCCCTTGGCGTGCAGCACCATGCCTTCATTCAGACTGTAGTGCCTGTGCTTCTTGCTGCTTCCTAGCCTCATTATTTTTCATTTTGCTGCTGCTGGTTTTGCTAGTAAGATCCCATTTGTCAAAACTGCTTTATCGAAACAGGGAAAAGATTGGGTTAGGGGATTGTGGTGCACAGTTTCTCAAAGGATGAAGTTACTTCCATAGCACAAGATCACATCAGCAAAGAACTGAAGGTGACTGCAAGCACATTCAGGTGAATGGCATTCATTATTTGTACGTACAAACAAGATGAAGCTATTGCCCTCTTGGGAGGTGCTATTTAAATGAGGAAAAGGCAGATCTTTCTTCAAAGAGCGTTCAAGCTAACCAAACAAGGCAAGGACAGGAGAAAATAAATATTACCCTGACTCCTGAGATCAAATGAAGGCCAGAAGATGCTTGATGATTTGCCTGAGGTGATGTAAGTAGTCCACAGAAGAGTGGAGGTAGGAACTGAACCTAGAGCCTCTTACCTGGTGAGCAGTGTCCTCTGAGATGGTGTGTGGTCAGGAAAATGGCAACATCAGCAAACTTGAGCTTTTGCCTGTGAACTGTGACACTTGAGAAAAAGTGACAGCATAAAAAAATCTTTTTCCTGACAATATTTTCCTCATCTATTATTCATCTATTATTCCTATATCTAACATCTATTATTCCTCCCTCCCACCTCTCACCCTTTCCCCCCCTCCCCCCCCAATTTCCTGAATTTGTTATTGTTACTGTATTTAATAGCTAATTTAATGGCTGTCTTTGATAGCAAAATATCTCAAAATACAACTTTCTCTCTCTAAAACTCTCTGAGGGCAAATGGAGAGAAGATGCAGGGCTCCTCTTTTTGGTAATTTATGATAGGACACATGAGAATGCAGGTTCAGACTGGACATAAGGAAAAAATTCTTTACTGCAGGGCTGGTCAAACACTGGAACAGGCTTCTGAACGAGGATGTTGGTGTCCACTGCCTCTCAGTGTTCAAGAGACATTTGCTCAGTGCCTTCAATCATATGCTTTAACTTTTGATTAGCAATGAAGTGGTCAGGACTTGGACAAGATGATCTTTGAAGGTCCCTTCCAACTGATCTATTCTTCCTACCCTTTCCTGTCCTATCCTATTCTGAATTTTAGGAGGAATTTTTTTCACACAGAGGGTGGTGATGCACTGGAACAGGTTGCCCAAGGAGGTTGTGGATGCCTCATCCCTGGAGGCATGCAAAGCCAGGCTGGATGTGGCTCTGGGCAGCCTGGTCTGCTGGTTGGTGACCCTGCACTCAGGAGAGGGGGTTGAAACTAGATGATCATTGTGGTCCTTTTCAACCCAGGCCATTCTATGATTCTATGATGATTCTATGACTCTATGAATTTCCTCAGTGTTCCAGAATTCTGGATCTCAGAAACATGTTCAAGTTAAGAAATGGGAATATGCTGGCATGTTTTACAGGACATTCTTCTGGTGAAAAGGAGGTTTGTACTTTGTACAATATTTTTAAGATCGCCCCTTCCTTCATTATCATATTTTATATAGTCAAAAATAGGAATTATATTCATTGCGTTGGAATATAAGCTTGCAATACACTGTGTAGTTATCAGAAAGACTATTCTTAATTACCTGCAAAAAACTTTCATTGTCTGATGTACTCCATGGATATTATCCCTTAATTAGCTGCCTTATTTCAGCTAAATTGAAGAAAGAAAGAACATTCACCACAAACACTTTTTTTTTCTCAATTATTATTATTAGCTCCAATTCCATCCTCTGCAATGGAAAAGAGAAATGAAAGTACTTTATTCTTTCACTGAGTTGAAGTGTAAAGTTTTGTCTTCTGATGAGTAAAGAGAAGTTTGCTCTTAACTCTCTGCTTTTCTAGGAGCCACTCAAAATGGAGCACAGGCTGGATTTTTCCCCATGGTTGTGAAGGCAGCTCCATTTTGAAGAAGGAAGTTCAGTAATTGCTGCCTGACAGACCTCCCTGTCAACTCTCTGGATTATCAGTGCTGGATTGTTTGCTGGGAAAACATCTAAAGTCAACAGAGGGAGGTACTGGAAATAGCATTCAGATGGGCAGGGGATATCTAGTGGTCAGATGGAAGCACATGAAAGAGTCGTGCTGAAGCTGGGTAAGGAACCATTTAACAGCTGTGTAACTGTGCCTTTTTTTTGGCTATCAGAGTTTCCCTGGAGATTTGGCCTGCTAGCCAGCAGTCAGCTTGCCTGCTGCTGGTAGATGCAAAGGTTTTTCTGTTGACTTACCCTTGGCTTAGGCGTGAAAACCTTGCCTTGAGGTTGAGGATAAAATACTACTGCATAGCAGAGACATGTGGGTCTGATTAGTTTCGGGCTAGATAGGGAGAGAGGGTAGATGGTTCTCAGTTGGAAATGAAAATAGGAGGGATGTTTTGTTCTGGGAAAGTCAGTGCTTAGGCTGAGGCTTTTTCCAGACAAGTATTTTGGTACCCAGAGCACAACAGAGGTAAAATTAGGTCCTGTAGGCCAAAACTGTAATGTCAACCTGCTGCGACCTAACTCTGCGGGTGTCTGGGTTCAGTATCTGTCTTTGACCTCTCAGGTCTCTAAATATCTGGTTCAATGCTTCTGTGTACCCTGTGCTGCCTTGCCTCAGTGATAAGTAGGATTGCTAGGTTCCCTAGCAATGCTAAGTGCTGGACAGCAGCTCACGTGTGTGCATGAAACACCAGTCAAGTTGAAACTGAATCTCTCCCCATAAGAAGTGATTAAATACATTTTTTTGTCATTGTCTTCTTTTTTCTTTTTCATGTTGGTTTAGAGAGCTTTGCTTTTATACTTCCCCGTAACACTTTATTTTTACTTTTTATTATTATTATTATTTCTTTTTGCAGTAATCCTATGAGAATGGCCATGGCTGTCTTCACTGATGTGGAAGGAGGGCAGAAGCAATGACTTCTGCACTGCTTTAATTACAGATCTCACTAACTGCCCTCCAAACCAGCAGGGTTTTCTTGGAGCTGTTTCTATAAGCCAGAATGTCCTTATGTAACTGATTTACACCTGAAAGGGTAATTGCTTCCTGACTCTGCGCTTAAGTATTTCTAAAACCCAACAGCATCTCATGCAGTTTCACCACACACCTCCTCCTCCCTACAAAGCTGGGCTTTCCCCACTTAGGAAAGTTTCCTGTAGCTGGAATTGCTTGCCAACATGATATAGTCAGGACCAGAATGTCCATCCTTCTTGAAATAATTGGCAAAATCCACGCAAGCAGGCTTAAAATGGCAGGACAGTGCACAAGAAAACACTCACATGGGAGATGCTCCTGCTGAACTGCCTAGTGCTGTTATGACCCACACTTACATGGTGCCAAAGAAGCAATCATAAAAGAAAAAAGCAAAACTAATGCACCAGAATGCCACTTTCCTGTGGCAGTCCCCAAGCAAATTTGGCTCTGGCAAGGATAGAAGATAATAACAGACCCCTGTTTGTGGGTGCACTGCTGTGGAGGTGCTGGTGCTCTATAGTCACTTTATGAGTGATGTGACAGCTTCCCTGACTGAAGTAATTCTGAGTATTGTAACACGAGGTGTCAAGGCAGACAGCAGAAAACATTTCAATCCTTTTCATTAGAACAAAGTGTTATTCTCTTGACGGCTTTCAAATGCATATTGTTTAGCTATTATGTGCTAACCTTGACTACCATATTCCAAGCACAATAGCAATGGGAGCTTTTTGCTTTTTTGTTTGGCTAGTGATCATGCTAAGAGGATTTCTTTTTTGCAGGGTCAGTAAATATTCTGTTACAAAGGAAAAAAAAAAAAAAAAGAAAAAAGAAAGAAAATTGAAAGGGTGTATTTATGTTACAGTAGCAGTGTCTGAGGTCTCCCCTTGTGCTTCATATGGCAGAGGTGGCTCTGATGGTTCCCCAGTATGGATTTATATCCCAGTGGAACTTGTACTTCTCGTAATCAAAGACTGTAAGTGTATCCTGCCTGGACTGCTCATATTGCTGGTGATAAGTGATGCTAAAGTGACTGCACTGTCAGCTACTGGAAGCCTCAGGCAACATGCAGCAGGTAAATGGTTAATTAAAACAGTCCTTCGAGGATACCTTTAAGGGAACCTCCTTGGGGAGTTATTGATGGAAATGGCTGCTTCGTGTTTTCTCTCAAGGCTACATACAGGGCTAGCTGCCTTAACTGCTTTTGACATTTCTTCTCTCTGACCATGAGGTTGCTGAGATGGGAAGATTAAGTTGCTCGTGGAAGAATGAGACCTGACACAGGTGAAAAACACGGGTAAAGATTTAGAAGTGTGTGAGCAATGCTTGAAATCTGACAAAGCTTGGGCTCTTTTTTAGAATCAGCCACGCATCCTGGAGGGCAGACATTGTCACCTTTCTAAGCCTGTGCTTGCACAAAGACCCCATTGACTTTTTTTCCCTTCTCCTGAGCTGTCGATCTCCACATCTTTTCCTTTCCTCATCTTTTTTTTTCCTTCCCATCATTTAATTCTGCATTTTTGATTAGCAACCTCATTGTGTTTCTCTTAATAAGTAGCAATTCACATCCCCTTCCAAACCATTCCTCACGACCTATCTCTTCCCATCCATTCCTACATTTTCCCTTGCCCAGCTCCCACTCCCATTTCCTCCTGTCACAAACTCCAGCTCTGAGATTACCCTCACCCTCTGCCATCCCTTCCTCTCCAGTGCCTTCAGCTTTCCTCTCTCCACAGTTTGATTTTCCTTCTTCCTCAGTGCCAGCACCTGACAGAGAAGGAGTTGCTGATTATATGTCTTCATTGTAATTAAACTGGGCCAGAGCCCATTCTCTGGCACTAAGAGCAAGTGGCACAGCCTGGCTCGTGTCCATAACAGCTAAGCTCTCTTCCTTCCATAACAGGATGGCTTTATCCTTTCTGCCTATTGGGAACAGCCCTTGGCAAGTGCTGCTCCCTGAACCCTGCCCAGACACAGTCTCTGAGAGTACTCCTTAGGACAAGCCAAAACTTTGCCAGGGAGCATGCTAATTATTAAACACTATGGACTGTGCTACAGGACTTGGTGCTGCTTTAATTTACTCATAAAAATGCAGCTGAAAGATTGAGGGGGAAATGTCCTTGCTTTCAGCCCATGCCACAGCTATGGGGGTCAAGGAAAAGCTGACTCACACCCATTTTGCTCAGGCAAGGAGGGCAGGCTCTGAAATGTGAGCGTGAGCCTCTTGAGCTGGTTATCTTTCAAGCATAAACTTGGCTAAATATGGGCAAAGTTTTTTAATCTGGTGGGGGTGTGAGAAGCATGTCTTTGATTAAACTCCTGCCCTCCTGCTGCTGCTGTCACGCTGCTGCCCCCAAATACGAGCTTCCAAACAAGGGTTTCCTAAGGATTTTTAAATCTGAGTGAAAAACAAACATCTTTTTTCCTGCCTTTCCCCCCCTAGGTGTGGATTGAAGCTTTCAGCTGAAAGAGAACACCCACGTGGGAAACTTCAGCTCCTTCAGTTAGCATTTAACAGAATCTGCAGCAGTTGAGAGCAGGGTCATCCTTGCATGTGGGCAGCGCAGAGCTTCAGCAGTAAGTGGTAACACCTCTTTCTGCCACGTGTAGTTTGGGTACACGTGCAGACCTGAGGACTGATGTTTGGCACAGCTCCTTTGACAAATAGTATTTATCTGAGGCCAAACCTCCATTCAAAAAAAGGTTCTAAGCTTCTGGGATGTGTTTGGGAATGATGCTTTGAACTGGGTTACAGTGATGATGTATGAAAGGAGGCTTAGTGCTGGTCCACGTGCAAGGTGAGAATCCTGTGTAACCAGTGACTCTAATATGCACACCTCCTCCCATTTTTCTTTAATATCCTGAATGGACTTGGGATGGAAAGTGCATATACATCCTGGTGTGCAGCACATCCAGTGCCTGTATATATATCTTCCCAAATCCCAGCAGCACTATGTTTTGAAATGATCAAAGTAATAAGGTAGGCTTTTTTTGTTTCCATGACTTTGAAATTGCTACATACAGCCAACAATACTAAAAAAACTAATAAAGACTGCATTACTTAATTCTTATGTTATTTCTAAAATAACCATACATATTTTCTGATGATTTTGCTTGTCATTTAAGCATGAAATAATGGGGAATCTGTATCTCTAAATCATGCATTTAGGGGTTGTATTTGTTTGTTTGTTTGTTTTTTGAGTACATAAATCTGTAGATTGGCTCATTGGCTCTCTGCACAAGAAAAGTCTTGAAATCTTTTTGATCAGTGAGTGTTACCTGGAACTTGTCTTGGACTAAGGTTTCAGATTTGACCCTGCAGATGGTGATATGTTCATCATCTCATACTTTATGTAATCACTCCTTATGCATATTGTGAGCAAGGATTATTTAAATATGGAGATGGCCATAATCTTCCACATTACATTTTGTTTCTCATTCCCCTTACTTCCTTAAATCAAGCTGCTGTTCTGGGATTTTGTCCTTGGGCAGTGATCGCTGTATAGGAGGCTGGAGTTGGTTTCCTCAGCCCCTTGTCTGGCTCTGTGATCCACAGACATTTGCTACAGTACAGCTGCACACCTTAGCCTGGAGTGGAGGTTGTCCTCAGTCATCCTGGCGAGTGCAAGGATGCTTGCTTCTGCAGTTTCCTTTTTGTCTTCCAATCAAAATCCTATTGTCTTTGTGTGATATTAAAGCGGATGTTCAAATTACTTGTGTATTAGGACACAGTAAGCCTGTCCAAGGCAATGGAAAAATCCTGGATGGCCCTATCTTGTGTTAGAGGCATAAGTAATTGTGCCTTTGTGCACTGTGTGGGGACTGACAAGGCTGTCTCCCTGGGGAGAGATTGGCAGCAGAAGACCATTAATGTGCAGATAAAAGCAGAGCGTTATCTCCTGATGTTGTTTAAGTCATTGGCAAACTTGCCTTTGACTCCAGCAGAGATGGAAGCTGAGCTGAGATGTTTGTCTTTTTATGGACGGGTTTTTCATTGCAGCTCAGAGATAAAGATTTTTTTGGAGAAGGAAAGCAGTGACTGTCAAGACAGAAAATGGCTGTGAGACCAGCAAGTGCATTGGCAGATCGGAGTGCTGTGGGACCCGTACATAAAAGCTTGAGCAGGCAAGAAGAGATTTTCAAGCGGGGAAAACAAATAGTACAGAGAGATAGGAGTGAAAGGTAGACCACTTGAGCAGAGGTGGTTGGTGTTAGGAGTGGTCCACAGGGCTCAGCACAGTGCAGAGAGCACACAGATCTCAGTGTCTGAACTCTGCTTGATGTGTCATTTATGTGGCTCAGCAGGCTCATAGTGGAAAGGTTATCAAAAGAGTGCCAGCCTCTGTGAGAGAGGATGAAAACAGCATAATCTATAAACAAATACAGACTCAACTGCAGTCTAAAACTTGTTCAAATAAATCTAATGCCTGCTGTTGATTTGCTGCCCTTCACATCTTTCCGAGTTCCCCACATAAATTCTGCAGTGCTGCAATTTGCATCTGAGAGGCTGAGTTTTCTTCAGCCTATGAACTGCTCTGAGCTTTGCAGTTTTTGGCACAGATATTCCCACTTTCTTTCTCCTCCTGCCTTGTGTAGGTGGAAGCCCTGTAGAGAGGACAGCAAGGTAAATAGAGCCGAGCGGAAGATGTTCAGGGCAGCTTTCCACTGGGGAAATCAAGGCCTTGTGCTGAAAGCCAAGTGTCCTTGGCTAGACCTCATCTCAGTTCAGTCTGCCCTCATCACACTCAGGAGGGATTTCAACCTTTCCAGAGCAAGCCTGGAGTAATAGCTGAAAGAGCTTTTGGATTTTTATGGATTTTGGCTCAGAACAGGCTTCTTTCCACTCCACAAGAAAAGTACTCTGATAGCCCGATTTATGCACCCTCATTTTTTGGTAGGGCTTTACGAAGAATTTCATGAGAGAGTGCTGAGCCTCCCTGCCTGGCTGATGTGTACGGCCATGGGCCATACTGCAGATGACAAAAGGTGTGATGACAGGAGTGACTCTATGTTTCTCTCTCTCTTGCTCTTCTTCCCAGCTTCTCCCAGCTAGGCAGTGCTTCTAGTGCTGGCATGGGGGCTGATGTAGATCTTCTGTGAATTAGAGCTTTTACTCACTGAGTATTGCTCCTACATTTTAGCGAGGTATGTCAGTCACAAGAGGACCTCATAGGCATTGGAGTTAACACAAAGCTAGGACCACAGAGGGTGAGGGTGGAGAGTGTACATGGAGGAACACCTCTATTTGGTTGCTGTTAAATCAGCTTACAGTGTCTCATGTGACTAACCATAACCCCAAGACCTCTGTCTAACACATAAACAAAGTAAGAGAGTGAAAAAATGCAGCATTTTCTCTTTCTTCCCCTTTTCAAGTATTTTTTCTCAAGTCTTTGCCAAGAACTGGGTTCTGTGCGTTTATGTAAATAACCACAGTACAGCACAACGGTTAGAAAGCCTTTAATACAGTTCTTAATCTTACTAGCTTCCTCATGTAAGCTTTGCTAGTGCTGGTGAATCTGCTTTCTGCTGTGCCCTCCTGAAAGGCTTTATGAGATATTTATTGCCTGTGTGACTACTTCTACCTGAGGGAGATGCTATTCCCATGGGAGCACCAGGGAGGTGTAACACACTGTGCCTGGCATGGCTGATCTTCCTGGCATACTGCTGGCTTGAAGCCCCTCTCTGTGCAAAGGATTGTTGGGCCAAAATCTATCAGGTCTCGGAAGTAATTTGTGAACTGATCTAATTAAGGGATGGGACTGTTGTATAGGAAAGGGCTTTGCTGTGGCAGGGAGCACTTTATCTTGGATACACTCTTGCAGCCAGTCCCAGCTAATCAAGTGGAAATCCCCATTGGTTTTTAATAATTTGTCTGCCAAATTCAGCATTTTAAAGAAGGCACAAACTGAAATAATTTTCTGAAGAGTTATTTCTCTTCCAACCAAGGATTGCCTCAGCCTGGGACACGGTGGGCTGAGCTGGACGGTGGCAACAGCCATCAACAGTCCCAGACTGGGCAAGAGGTAAACTAGATCCAGGGTCCAAGCATGGAGCCCAACCACAGGAGCAAACTGAGATGAAATGAGAGCTGGAGGCAAGGCCAAGCATAGGCCCAAAGTCTATTTAGGAGACAGCCAAAGACAGGACAGGAGATGATCTACAAGGTACTGCTATGCCAAGAATTTGCTGTTGCTTCTTTATTAATCAAGATGTTGTGTAATTATGATACTTCCAAGTCTCTGCTTTATATCCGGAAAGTTTTAGATTCTAGATGTCAGGAAAACAATGTGAACTGATAAGAATGGTGCTGTATAGTCCCGAAAAATCAGTTATAATCCCTAAAAATCAGACAAAAATATTTGTTACTTTCAGTGAAATATTTCTTGGATTGTCTTATTTTCAAATGGAATTTCACAGGGCTTTCTGAAGATCTCAGACCCAATTTAGAATAATCAATAAGCATGCTAGAAGTAGTGGCTTTTGAAATTTATAGGCTTTGTGGTTATAGATGGTATGATTTTTTTTTAATAAATAGTGTTATGAGAACAAATTTGCTATCTGTCTAGAGGTGAACTGTTTCAAATATTCTCCAATATTTATGAGAGAAAAGCTGATTTTTTTTTTGTTGCCACGTGTATTTTCCCAAGAACTCAGACTTGTCCAGTATAAGAGGTCAACTTGCAATAAATTGTGGTCTGATTTCTGGATGGTCCTGTGTAGAGCCAAGGGTTGGACTCAATGATCCCTATGGGTTCCTTCCAACTCAGACTATTCTGTGATTCTATGAAATTGTCTCAAGACTGAAGCAAGTACATTTTGTTTTTATAGTGTCCTCATCATGATTTATTTTCTTGTGGTTGTTGTCTGGTGTTCAGAAGAACATGTGCCATGTAGAATTTGAGGGTGCTGTTGGGTACAGCAAGATCAGAATCAAAAAGCAGCTATTCACAAAGCTCAACTGATTACCATTATTACAGGTAGCTTTCTTCTTTTTGCAAAGCACTTAAAAGGCCAGCTTTGTAAAAGCAAGGCATGGTTATTACTGTTTATTCCTGCGTTATTATCTCTGTTCCACACCACTGATTTTGTTTCATTTATCAGTCAAATTTTACATTATTTATTGAAGAATAAAATTCAAGACTTGATTTCAGAAGAACAAAGCCTCTGCTCTTAGCACGACCATTAGATTATCCCTCTAATTGTCTCATTCACCTTTCTCCTTTGCGTGGTTCATCATCTCTTCTAGTGTGGTAAGACAGGAATTTTCCTCATAAATGTATGTGTCTTTTGTTTTTGAAGGGACAGAATGACCTCAGAATGGACTCATTGTCATCTTTCTAGCTTCTGTGAGAGCAGCGAGAATGGCTACCTCCGGGAGTCAGCACTAGAGAGGGATGGAGTCCCATTGGTACAAGACACATAAGGAACTTAGCTGCAAATCCAAAAGAACCTGAGAGTGGAAGGTGGGACAGTCCAGTGGCTGCAAACCAGGAGCCCCGAGGAGAATCCTGTGAGCTAATTACTGAGCTTTGGGCTTTGCCTTCTGACTCTGGGCCTTTCTGA